TCAATTTGAGTTTAATTTTGATTTTTTTGTTTTGATGGGGCCCCTAAATCTCAATTAATTGGGATTTTTTTAACTTCTTCCAATTATGCCCCTTCTCTATTTTTAATTAAAGGACATAAGTTTTATTTTTTTAATTGGGCCCTTAAATGCCTTTTTTATTAATTTTAAACTTTTCATTTTTTCAATTGCCCCCTCCTTTTTAGAATTAACTTAAGCTAATTGTTCTAATTGATTTTCAATCTTTTTCTTTTTCTCGTTCTTTTCTTTAGCTTTTTTTTTGTTTATCATCATTTTTTTGATATTTTTGTAATAAAAATAAAAATAAAAATAAATCTCATAGGGGTACAAATTATGTGTTTACAGGTTGCCTCCTCTTCACAATACTTACGATGTAAAGTCATTGAAAAAAGTTTTTTTTTTTGGGCTTTGTATAATAAGCTTGTAAAGAAACAAAAGAAAAATTTTAAAATACGTTACCGATTACATCGATTTAAAATTCGAAAAGACTTGACTGGCCATGTCAAATTAAAAAGATGATCGGCCACATCAAATTTAAAAGGGCACGACCGGCATGTCTCTTCAAAATCTAATTAGTGAGGCCAGTCACGTTCTTTCAACTTGACGTGACCAATCATGTCTTTTCAAAATTTCAATTTAGCACGACCGACCATGCCCCTTTCAATTTAACATGGTCAATCACATTCTTTTTAAATTGATATAGTCAGTCATGTTCCTTCAAGTCGACATGGTTGGTTGCACCCATTCAAATCATGTTTATTTTAAATTGACATTATCGGTAATCTCCCTTCAAGTCGACGTAGTTGTTCATGCCCATTGAAATCAACGTGGTCAATCACGTTCTTTTTAAATTGACATGGTCGGTCATGTCCCTCTAGGACGACGTGGTTGTTCGCATCCCGTCAAATCAACGTGATCGGTTATGTTCCTTTTAAATTGACATAGTCGATCATGTCCAACGGAATCGACATGGTCAATCATGTCCTTTCAAATAAATGTGGTTAGTCATCTTTTTTAATTTGGCATAGCTAGTCGTGTCTTTTTCAATTTGACGCGGCTAGTCGTTCCTTGTTAATTTAACATAGCCGATCAAGTCTTCTCAAATTTCAAATCAGTATGATCAATCATGTATTTCGTAAAATTTTTTTTGGTTCTTTACAAACTTGCCATGCAAAGCCAAAGAAAAACATTTTTCAATGACTTTACTTCGTAAGCATTGTAAAGAGGGAACTCGTTAACACCTAAATTTTGCCCCTATTTTTCTTATTTTTCTTTTTATTGTAAAAATACCAAAATTATAGATAAACAAAGCAAAAGTGCCAAAAAAAAAAAACAATTGAAACAATTAGCTTAGGTTAATTCTAAAAATGAGGAGGCTAATTGAAAAATTGAAAGTAATAAAAAAGGCAATTAAGGGCTCAATTAAAAAAAAATCAAAACTTACGTCCTTTAATTAAAATAAGAAGGGTAAACAATTAGAAGAAATAAAAAAAATCCCAATTAATTGAGATTTAAGGGCCCTATCGAAGCAAAAAAATCAAAAGTAAACTTAAATTGACGAATGCTAAGAACCAAAACAAATTTTGTACAAAAACCTACCTATAAAAACCCATTCCTATACAATTTTTTGACGTTAAGCACTATTCATCATCTTCATTTTCTCAACACAGCCAACTCTGCAACAAAGAAACTTTCTCCTTGCAAAACTAACACCCACCTAAAGCTTTTAAACCCTTTCTCTCACCCAAAACTTCACCCTCACCCGAAACTACCCTATGTCGTCCTCTCTTTCATCGAAAGCAACCACAACCCTCTATCTTCAACCTTTACTGGCTACAATAAAAAAAAAAGGGAAAGAGGTAGTTATACTTCCTCCCTTCTTCTCACTCTCGACTAGAAGAACACAACTCACACCTATTAGCCACCTTTAATCCCCATCACGACCACCCTTGCTCTAGCCACCGTCACCACTTGAACACCATAACTCATCCCTCCATCTTCAACAGCCACTAGCTCATACTCCTCAAACAAACATAGACACTACCCCTAACCATTATCTCGAGCTTTCCATCACCAAAAAACATACACATAGCAGAAACTCCCATAGCCTCTCTCTTCCATATCACTCATTTCAACTTCTATTTGGAAAATCAAAACCAAACCCTAACATTTGTGTTTCTCTCTCTAAACTCCCTAACTTTTCTAATAAAATTTCACTCTCATCTTCCTTCATTCCTTCGTCAACCCCTGCTTAAATGGTAAAACAGAGCATTACACTCTCTAGTTTTTAACTTTTTAAAGAGTTGGAAAAGATGAAAGTGAAACCCAATAGAAAGAGATAATTGAAGTTGGTGTTTTATGATAGGAGTGTCAGAGTAAGTGAACCATGTGTGATTTATAAGTTTAAAATTTTGCTACCAAATAAAATGATTGTAATGTTGAGACTGACGGATCCAAAACTTGTAAAATAGGTGTGAGACTTTATTTATATGGTTAAACAAAAATATGCTTTAGCTAAAAAAGATTCACGGCTTTCAATAAAAAGAAACAAGCTTTGAACTAGAAAAGTGAAAGTTGGTTTGTAGAGGGTGCGAATGGTAATTTAATTAAGCAGAGGTTAAAGTTAAGGCTTTCAAGTCACATAAATGCCACATTCTTCAGTTTCACGATGGATCATATGGAATTATTGATACTTTTGTGAGCATGTGAGATTTGACATCGGATACTGAGTTATAAGGGAGTTTCCAGAATAGTACATCTTTGAGAGTGCACTTGTTGATTTAATTGATAAGTCCTTGTAAGCAGTATGGTCTACTAGTGAAAATGGAAGAAAATTGATTAGGTTAAACGAGGAAAGACCTCAAAAATGAAAGGAAGTAAAAGATCATCCCTTTGAAAATGAGGATAAACAAGAAAATAACGTAAAATATTTTTGCGCAGCCTAAAAGCCATAAACAGAAGAGATCTACAGTTGAGGATCTGTATGATAATGCTCATGTTAAGTTTGCTATAATGAAACGATTAGAGGATATTATAGCTAATCTAGCACATTAATTTCCTAACATGATAAAGGTATGCCACCCTCACATGTGTCTAGAGGATTCTAGTTGGGTCTTATTAAGGAAATTTATAAAGATCATTTGCAAAAGTGAACGTAAAGATAATTTTGAAAGATTAAAGTTTTGAAATGGTATATTTTGCATAACAGATGCGTCTTATTTGGTGGATGAAAAAATTCATCAAGTTGCATAAATTATAACTAATCTAGCACTTCATATGGATCCCGTCAAAGTGACCAAAAGTTTCTCTAAAATTGACATAAATGGCCATGGTCGTTACTACTAAAGTCATTCTAAATTGGCAAAGTTCTTTGTAAATTTACAAAGTCTCCTGAAACTTGAGGGACTTAGGAATATCATGTTATTCTTATCAAACATAATCCAATAGAAAATTCTTTTTTCTTTTTTTCTTTTTTTAATAAAGGATAGAAGCCAGGCGTACGCACGCATTGGCAGTGGCCTGTTGGCAGGCGTAAGGGAGAAAGAGTTAGCAGCATATGCCATCATTTTTTCTGTTTAATTTCCTCTTTAGAATTGTTTAGTAAGAGGTGATTCGAATCCTAATCTTTAATTTCTTTACTCATCTTACTTGGATTCTTTATATCAACTGCATCATCAGTACAATTCATTTGTCTCGCACAAGCTCTCCTTTCCAAAAGGCTAATAGCGCCATCCACTTCTTTTGAGCCATTTTCCTTCATAATATATACCTTAAATTTTGTTGGCTTGACTAAATGAAAAAAAAATCTCCCTCGAGGTGCTAGATTAACTATAATTAATGCAATCGGGAGAATTTTTTTGATCCACCACTAAGATCCACCTGTTGTGCAAAAGATACTATTTCAAAACTTTCATCTTCCAAAACTGTCTTTACATCCTCCTTTGCAAATGATATTTACAAATTTCCTTAATAAAACCCAACTAAAATCCTTCAAGCACATGTGAAGGCAACATCCCTTTATCATGCTAGAAAATCGAGGTACTAGATTAGCTATAATATCTTCTACTCGCTTCATTACAGCAAACTTAACACGAGCACTATTATATAGATCCTCAACTGTAGATCTCTTTCGTTTGTGGCTTTCAGACTTCATAGAAATATTTTACGCAACTTTCTTGTTTATCCTCATTTTCAAATGAAGGATCTTTTACTTCCTTTCATCTCCGGAGCCCTTCCTTATTTAACCTAATCAATTTTCTCTCATTTTCACTAGTAGGTCATACTGCTTGCAAGGACTTATCAATTAAATCAACAAGTGCACTCTCAAAGGTATACTCTTCTAGCAACTCCCTTATAACTTAGTATCTAATGTCAAATCCCACATGTTCACAAAAGTATCAATAATCCCAGAGGATTCAGCGTGAAGCTGAAGAATGTGGCATTTATTTGACTTGAAAGCCTTAACTTAAACCTCTGTATAATTAAATTACCATGTCCACCCTCCACAAACCAACTTTCACTTTTCCATTTCAAAGCTCATTTCTTTTCATTAAAGACTGTGAATCTCTTTCAGCTAAAGCATATTCTTATTTAACTATACAAATAAAACCTCATACCCACATTACAAGTTTCAAATCCGTCAGTCTCAACATCACAGTCATTCCATTAGGTAGCAAAATCTTGAACTTGTAAATCACCCCTGGTTCACTTATTCTAGCACCCCTATCATAAGGCATCAACTCCAACTATCTCTTTCTATTGGGCTTCTTCCATCTTTCCCCAACTTTTTAAAGAGTTAAAAACCAAAAAAAATCGATGTTCTGTTTTACCATTTAAGTAAGGATTAACGACGGAATGAAAGAAGATGAGAGTGAAATTTTGTTAGAAAAGTTAAGGAATTTAGAGAGAGAAACACAAATGTTAGGGTTTGGTTTTGATTTTTCAAAGAGAAGATGAAAGAAGTAATATAAGAGAGAGAGGCTATGAGGGTTTGTCCTGTGTGAGTGTTTTTTTATGGTTGCAGGTTCGAAATAACGGTTGGGGGCAGTGTTTATGGTGGTTTGAGGAGAGCGGGCTAGTGGCTGACGAAGATGAAGGGAGGACTTATGGTGTTCAGCTGGTGACAGTTGCTGGAGCAAGGGTGGCAACGGTGGGAATTGAAGGTGGCTAATAGGTATGAGCTATGCTCTTCTAGTCTAAGGTGGCTAATAGGAGGGAAAGAAGTATGGCTACCACTTCCTTCCCTTTTTGTTACAGTTGATGGAGGTTGAAGATAGAGGATTGTGGCTGCTTGATATGACTACTTTCGATGAAGGAATGACAACTAGAGGTGCTTTTGGGTGAGGGGTGAAGTTTCGAGTGAGAGAGAGAATGTGAAAGCTTTAGGTGAGTATTAGTTTTGTAAGGAGAGTTTCTTTATTGCAAAGTTAGTTGTGTTGAGAAAATAGGGATGGTAAATAGTGTTTAATAACAAAATTTTGCATAGGATAGGATCTTTATAGGTAACTTTCTTCATAAAATTCATTTTGGTCCTTGGTTCTTAGCAATCCATCAATTTGAGTTTAATTTTAATTTTTTTTGCTTCGATAGGACCCTTAAATTTCAATTAATTAGGACTTTTCTTTTTCAGTTCTTCCAATTGTACCCCTTCCTTATTTTAATTAAAGGACATAAGTTTTGATATTTTTTTTTAATTAGGCTCTCAATTGCACTTTCTATTACTTTCAAACTTTCCATTTTTTCAATTAACCTCCCCTCCTTTTTAAAATTAACCTAAGCTAATTGTTCTGATTAATTTTTTTCTTTTTCTTTTCTCTTTTTTTTTTTTTTGGCCTTTTTTGCTTTATTTATCATCTTCTTTTTTTTTTTTTTTTGATATTTTTACAATAAAAACAAAAATAAAAATAATAGGGTCAAAAATTGGATGTTTACAATTTCAAAAACTATATAAAAAATCCTTACGTTTTAGTTTTCGAATTAGATTATAACTTTGTTCTTTCATTAGTTTCATGTCAATCCTCCAATCAATTTTGTTTGGAAAATTTGACTAAGGAGGTACATTGGAACAAACAAAATCTAGTAAATTGAGTTAGTCAATTTATTAATTTATTCGACTACAGAGTCTTGAGTTATAATTCACTCAGACAACCATAGGCTTCTAGTTTTGTTTTGTTTTGCTTTTGTTTTTTTTTAACAAAAAAAAAACAAAAAATCAACATTAAGAAGTATCTTAGAATTAGCAACTAGTCAACCGAGACAAGGCAATCCTCGCATTAGTTTGATGCGAGGAATAAACTCCTTATCAAATCTCCTTAACCGGAAGACAAACTCACTTAACCGGAAGTTCTGGGGTCTCATGCTATGTATTGGGTACCACACCAGGTAGCTACCATTGCTTTGACAATCAAACAAACCCAGAAAATCAGGTTGAAGGTACATCAAGTTTCAAGTCTATGTTATCTTTTTTTTCCTGAGGGAAACTTTCCAAGATTTTATTCCTTGATACGAATCAATATTTTCATATTTGTGTAAGTTATACTAATTCCTCGAAGTAGGCAGATATTATTAAAACATAAAAAAGCAATCGTGGTGGAAGATGGAATCTGCCCCTTAATTACTAGAAGAAGAGCGTACCTAGAAATTGCCATTCCCCACAGATGAACGCTCTTCGTGGCAGATAAAAATCAATCTACACATTGTCTTGTACAGTTTTCGGAGTTTCCATAGACTTTCAAGTCATCTTTCCAAAGTGGCACATCCATACGTATAATCACATAAGTAGACTCCATAATGTATGCAGCACTCTTTCGATTCTAATCCCTAATCCCTCCCACGCCAAGTGCCAGCAAAATTATTCCGAATCCTTAAAATGACCCTCTAATATCAGTATGCAAAAAACGAGGACAGCAATTCATTGCCTGTGATACTAACTAAAGGAAAATTACTCCAAATTCTTAGGATACAAATGAGATGTGCTTTCACCGAAACTTCTCCTTTTCTTTCTGTCATCTTGAGGCATTTACTATTCAAAGTACAAGTTACAAATTCAGCTATTACAATGCCAACGTCATGTAATTTCACATCAAAGCAAAATCACATATAGCATAGAGCTGTAACATTATTACATAAATAGATATTTCATGCGAATATGATGATCCAATTTACGTTGGAATTTGGAATTATATACAAATATACAGTTTCACAGCCCAACTCGGACTGAAGAAACCATATGCAAGATATTCACAATAAGGACAAAAAAAACATTAAAAGAACATGCAACATGAAAGCTTTAATGGCAGTATCACATCACTTCAATGTCATCAACATCAAGCCAATCACTAGATTCCTTGGTTTCAGGGTTGCGAGCAATTACCTGCTCAGACCCAGCATGTTTGATGCTATCAGGGTTAATATCCTTAACGGAGTCAGCAGAGCTTCTGCTCAGCTGAACCCAATCCCGTGATTCTTTTGTTGAACTATCAGAGCCTGATGCCACTTTCTTGTGACTTGTAGGTTCATCTCCATCATCCTCTTCAAGATCACTGAATGAAACATCCTCATCATTTGCAAGAGGCATTGCGGCTCCACTGGCACCAATCATTTCTGAACTATCATCTTTCAACCAATCATCACCATCATCCTCAAATTTCTCATCCAGAAGGACCAGAACCCTAGAGGAGGAACTAGATGATGAATATTGATGTTTGGTCTGGTTAAATTTTTCTTCCTCAACCACGGATTTGTCAATAATTTGCACTTGAGTACTGTCAACTGGATGCTTCTCTGTTTCTGATTCAACTGAAACACTGGAAGGGACTGCTTCATTATCAGATGTCTTGGCTGCAAGTGCAGGAGGGACTGCTTCAGTGCCAGATGTCATGATTGGAACTGATTCAGACTCGGAATGAGATGGCACAGACAAAGACTCTTCATGTGATAAATCAGCAGCATCGTTTACACTCAAAGTGCCCCCTCCAGACCAATCTGAGGTGGACTTTGCCTTACCTTTGTTCTGTAACTTATGCGATAACATCGCTCTCGCCTCCACTATCTGCAGGCATACATAAACAGTTAGTGATGCAGATAATCAAGTAAATTGCTCACAACACAATAAAGGTAGACAATATTTTAAAATTACATGGAAGTGAAATCAACCAATGACTACCAAAATTAAATAGTACAGCGTCAGTTTCCTGGTTCCAACATCAAAACGTGAACTTATGGGTGTATATATATAGCAGTTAAGATTAACCAAAACACCCCTAACTGCCTTCCAATCCAAGTTTCCGCTGAGTAAGGGTCCCATGTGAGGCAAGAAAACAGGCTCAACGCACAGAGGAAAAACAAGCTGGATGCTATCATAAATTCCAAAACATCTACTAGTGATACTCCAGCAAAATTTGTGACACGTACCGAATAATAATTTCTTACTTTAGTTATTGTGTCAGGGACCAAGGATCAAAATCATCAAACCATGAAAAGCTTCTTTAGAAAACATGTTCACAATTTTGCAATACGTACATAAAGAACTGAGGCACGGATTGACAAGGAAGATGTTTATGGAAATAGAGAACTGTATGATCAAAATGACCTCCACGTTAACAGAAGGATTATACTATATTGATTGAACTACTGAGTAGCAGTTGAACCAGCTAATAATAATAGTAAAACAACTGGTATTGCTATCAAACCATGATGAAGTGTAACAAGAGTTTCTATAGAAAAAAATTCAATAAAAAATGAAAATGTGAAACCACCAACTCTGCCACAGAAAACCAACATACTTGAGGTGTTGAGAGTAGCTGAGCATCATGCTTAGTGAGTCTGGGGTGCAAGAGTACAAAGTAAATCTTCCAAAAGCAGCCTTCACTCATATATCCTGGACAAAGTTCAATCCTCAGAGCACCTAATCTGGGAGCAAGACGCTCAACAGCTAAAGCATGTTCTTGTTGGGCATCCGACATGTCAAAATCTGAAGGAAAAAAATAGTTGAAATAAAAATCAGCCACGTTCACAAACAGATCCAGCACATAACCATGAAATAGACTAATGCAATCCCTTCAATGCACATCAAACAAGGAAAAGTTGAAAAACAAGAAGAAGAAGACCTTCAAAATCTTGAACATCAGGAAGAGGAAAGTCGAGCCAAGTCTCAGGATGCATAGCAACATCTCTAGCAAAACCCACAACTTCTTCAGTCACACCCACAGCAGCAGCAGCTGCATCAATTGTCCCAATCTCATCGTCACTCTCCGACCCAAACTGCAGCAAATTGGAGGCAATCTTGGTAAACTCCGACACCGTTATGTTAGTGGACAGCTTGGAGATCCCTGACTTAAATTTGCCTCCAAATTCGGCAAAATCGCTCCGTATTCCGGCAATCAATGCAGCATCATCATCATCTGGATCGGATGTACGAGGATGACACTCGGATGGTGATTCAGGCGGAGGAGCGAGGAAAGATGCGACACCCCAGAATTGGCGTGTTAGGGTTTGCTTGAGATCTGTAAGGTCTTCTTTGACTCCACGAGGTGTCGCGGATTGTTGTTGATCCGATCCTGGCTTAGATAATTCTTCTTCTTCTTTATTACTATTATTATTATTATTGATTTTGATTTCTTCTTCTTGTTCCTCATCGTCGAATTTGAGAGAGTTAGCTATAGACCTTGCTAGCCATGACATTTCTTTTTCCTTCTTTTTTTGTTTCTATTTTTTCTGTCAGTGATGAGTGAATCGAACACCGAGAAAATGACTTTGCTTCTATTTCTTAGCTACAACTTAATCATCACCTATATATATCATTATATGAGAAAATTATATATTAGTCCCTCTAGTTTTAAAAAATAAATTAATTAGTCTCTTTCGTTTCAAACATTAATTATTTGGTCTCTCTATGTTTTAAAATTTTCTTGTAACTTTTTTTTTCACTTTTTTAATTTATTTTATTTTTTAAAGATATAGAAAATGAAAAATAAGTCAAAAAAATTATAAATAATTAATAAAAATGACAATTTTTAAATATAATAATAATAAATTAAACATAATTAACACTAGTTAAATGGGTAAATAATTATTTTTTAAAATAAAGGAGACTAATTGAATTTTTTTATTTAAAAATAAAAAGACTAATTTATAATTTACTTTGTATTAATTTGTTTCAATTGCATCCCAAAGTGATAAATTTTATCAATTATATCACAAACATTTTTCAACTATGTCCTTTTATTTATTTCTTATAGTTTAAGTAAGTCTGATGCATATATTTTATGCTTTAATGGTATTGATTTGAAGAACTTTTTATTCGACGATAAGATACTTTTCAAATCAATTTTTATATTAATCGAGAGTAAGTTTTTCTTATCAAAAAGCTTGTAACCCAATGATAATGATCTCTTACAAGAGATCACGGATTCAAATCCTAACGATTTAGTTCTATTAAGAGCCTTAGATGTGTCCGTTAAAAACAAGAATAAGTTTTTCTTCGAATAATATTAAGAAAGCAATTCTTGTATATGATACATTCAGAAAATTTTAATAAATTTTTCTTACGAGTTTAAAAGTTTAAATCCAAAAACATTACATTTTTTTTGGTCTAATGTGTATATTTATGCACTAAAATGGCATTGATTTGAAGAATTTTTTTAAAAAAATGTTAATGAACATTAACAAAAATATTTGATTGAGAATTCTTTAAAACATTCAGGACCTTATCGATAAAATTAATAATTTTGGGATTCAATTGAGAAGCAATATACAGGTTTGTAACAAAATTGAAATTTCCCCAATATTATATTACTTATAAATTAAGAGAGACGAGCTGCTCCTAAAGTTTCTAACTCGCATCTTTTTCTACCCCCAAGTCTCCAACATGACGCCTCAACTGCAACTTGTACAACCAGCAAAACTGCCCTAATGAATTTTAATGGGAACCCTGCTGTTCAAAAAATATATATGTTTAAGGAGTACCCTAGGGCTATTTGGTATCATTGTTTTCAAAATTTTCAAAATCTCTTTTAAAAATGAAAAAAAAAAAAAACTTAACGATAGAATAATTAACAACATGAGACATCGGTAAAATAAAAAAATGATAAAACTTAAAAAGTTGGGTGGAAATTTTAAAAATATTTTTTAAGAAGTAGAAAATAAAAACAAAAAACAAAAATCCATAATTATATATAAAAGCACAAACTTTTTACAAACTTTTGATTTACTATTATACTCTTAATAGAATACAAACATTATAATATATTACTAATATTATTAAGTAAATTCAACTCAAAAAATACCAATGTAAGAAAATTATTAGTTCTTTAAAAATAGGTTTTTTTTTTTAGAATGAATCTTTAAATATAGTTTTTTTTCATTATTTTTTTTATACACTACATAAAACTCAAAATAACATAAACTAAACTATCTAAATCACTCTTGAACTATATGGTATTATACTGATATTTTATTTTGACTATCAAACTCTAAAAAAAGCTTTAAAAAAAAGCAAATAAAATAAATAAAGTATTAAAATTTAAAAATAATTATATTAAATGAAAATTCATCAAATTATTATGTTGAATCCTTAGTTCATTTTTTATAGGTTATTAAATTATAAAAAAAATGTAAAAATTCACCATCGGTAAAAAAAAAATATTTTTTCTAAATTTCAATAAATGCTTTCTATAATAAAAAAATAAGAAGAAAAATATAACTAACGGAATCAATGAGAGCATCAACAACGCATTAATAAAGGGTCCATATTAAACAAATTAATTCCATTCAAGGACTCGATTAACGGTTAAGTTGGTAAAGAGACTTGATTAATCAATTATTTGTAAAATAAAAAATTGTCCAATTCGCTAACTCAATGTTATCAACAAATTTCCTAAATTATATATTTATTTTTGTCGGTGTTTATTTAGGAAAAAATAGGATTGATATTTATAAACGATCTAATTTAAGTTTCATTGTTAATTAAGTTTACTATTCTCTACAAATAGAAAAGTGTTGAAAAGTAATCATAATGGCAAAAGATTATTACGATAATAGTAAAAAAGATAGGTGAAAAGATAATAGAAAAATGATTTTACTATGAAATAAAAGTGAACACAAGAGATAATAACTTCAAATAATTCTCTCAATCTCTACAAAATACTTCTACTCAAACTAATGAACAATCAAACATCTTTATAAGCTTTAAAATTAGGAAGAGAATTGAAAGGGGCTATGAACAATTAAAAGCACATGAATTGTTAAATCAATTACATCACGCTTTTAATTTCTCACATTAAATTATGAATTGAATCACTTTAAAAATTATGAGTAGTGGGGATATAAAAAACATATGAATATTCATATGGACATTCATTATTTCAAAACACTCTCCTTTGAATGTCCATTATACAAAGAACATATCTCGTTAAAACCTTATTAGGAAAAAACCTAATGAAAAAAAATCTTAGTGAAGAAAAAAGAGTTCAATATTTCTTATACACATTAATCTTCATATTGGACTCCTACTGTTGAAAACATTATTTAAGATCTCTAAAAAAAACATATTCTAATATTGTGAATCATCTTAATCTTCATAAAAACTTTCTTGCTGGTGGATAAATCATATGTCTCTCAATATATGATGGGTCATTAATCTTAACTAAATACATTTTCGACTTATCTCATTAATTGTTAGTATTTATGCATGGTGGAAAACATATTCTAATATTGTGAATCATCTTCTCAAAAATCATAATAGGTAATGTTTTTGTAAACAAATCTGCTAGATTGTCACTTGATCGAATTTATTGAACGCTAATATCACCATTTCGTTGAAGATTTTGTGTGAAAAATAATTTTGATGATATATATTTTGCTCTTTCACGTTTGATGTATCTTTCTTTTAATTGAGTTATGCAAGCGGTAATATCTTCATACAATATTGTTAAAACTTTCTTGTTGGTGGATAAATCATATGTCTTTCAATATATGATAGGTCATTAATCTTAACTAAATATATTTTCGACTTATCTCATTAATTGTTAGTATTTATGCATGGTTTAAAGATGTGACAATTATCTCATTAAAACTTTCTTGTTGGTAGATAAATCATATGTCTCTCAATATATGATGGGTCATTAATCTTAACTAAATACATTTTCAACTTATCTCATTAATTGTTAGTATTTATGCATGGTTTGAAGATGTGGCAATTACCTCATTAAAACTTTTTCGTTGGTGGATAAATCATATGTCTCTCAATATATGATGGGTCATTGGTCATTAATCTTAACTAAATACATTTTCGATTTATCTCATTAATTGTTAGTATTTATGCATGGTGGAAAACATATTCTAATATTGTGAATCATCTTCTCAAAAATCATGATCGGTAATGTTTTTGTAAACAAATCTGCTAGATTATCACTTGATCGAATTTATTGAACGTTAATATCACCATTTCGTTGAAGATTTTGTGTGAAAAATAATTTTGGTGATATATATTTTGCTCTTTCATGTTTGATGTATCTTTCTTTTAATTTAGTTATGCAAGCGAGTAATATCTTCATACAATATTGTTAAAACTTTTTCTTTGGTGGATAAATCATATGTCTCTCAATATATGATGGGTCATTAATCTTAACTAAATATATTTTTGACTTATATCATTAATTGTTAGTATTTATGCATGGTTTGAAGATGTGACAATTATCTCATTAAAACTTTCTTCTTGGTGGATAAATCATATGTCTCTCAATATATGATGGGTCATTAATTTTAACTAAATACATTTTTGACTTATCTCATTAATTGTTAGTATTTATGCATGGTTTGAAGATGTGACAATTATCTCATTAAAACTTTCTTGTTGGTGGATAAATCATATGTCTCTCAATATATGATGGGTCATTAATCTTAACTAAATACATTTTTGACTTATCTCATTAATTGTTAGTATTTATGCATGGTGGAAAACATATTCTAATATTGTGAATCATCTTCTCAAAAATCATAATAGGTAATGTTTTTGTAAACAAATCTGCTAGATTATCACTTGATCGAATTTATTGAACGTTAATATCACCATTTCGTTGAAGATTTTGTGTGAAAAATAATTTTGGTGTCTTTCATGTTTGATGTATCTTTCTTTTAATTGAGCTATGCAAGCGGTAATATCTTCATACAATATTGTTAAAACTTTTTCGTTGATGGATAAATCATATGTCTCTCAATATATGATGGGTCATTAATCTTAACTAAATACATTTTTCACTTATCTCATTAATTGTTAGTATTCATGCATGGTTTGAAGATGTGACAATTATATTTTGTTTCATAGAATGCCATGATATAGTTGTATCACCATATGTAAATACATAACTAGTTTGTGATCGAGTTTTGTATGGATCGATAAATAATCTTCATCTACATAACTAATTAATCATATCTTTGATTAATTAGAGTAAAATAATCTCATACCAATTGTTCCTCCGAGATAGCATAGTATATTTTTAATTTCATTCCAACGTCTCCTTGTTGGAGTATAACTATATCTTACTAATAAATTTACGGAAAATGCTATATCGATCGAGTATTATTAGCAAGATGCATTAATGTACCAATTGCATTAAGGTATGGTACTTCGGGACCAAAAAGTTCTTTGTTATCTTTTTTAAATCGAAAAGGAGTCTTTTTTG